CTTATCATCATTTAATGGCCTTTTATTTAGTAGCATAGTAGTCCTTCTTTACTCTACAATTTACAGTACTTTAATTGATAAAGATTTGATTGAGTTACGAGCAAAAAAGTAAATTGTCATATGGTGTTACAATACTTTTGACGCACACTGTATGTCTATCAGCCCTTGCAATCTGATAGGAGTAAGAAGGGAAAGAAAGACTCAACAATGGCAGTAGTGGTGGCTCCCTTCAGTAAGCAAGGAGAAGGAGAGTAAGAAAGAGAGACGTGAACGCACTAAATCGTCGAGCCGTGTCCGAGGTTCTGGCACACGCGCATGTGACCTTTCGTCATGCTCTACCGCAAGCACCGCGAGCGTTTCTTCATCAGTGTCAACCACTGATTCTGACAACTATAGAGAATTCGACTCGCTCTCTGCTGATAGCTTGCTGTATGGTGGCCCGTTCAGATACCCGCATACAATGTGTAGCAGTGTGCACAAAGTGGAGATGGTGGACTTTGCTGATTTCAAGATGGGCAATGCAGAGTGCTTGCAAGGTCAAGGTCAACTGCAAACGCTCTCCTTACTGCTAAGCCTCTCAATGCCCTTACTTTCTGGGCTACTGCCTCTGTTCGAAATGGTGTCATGGACAGTACTGGGAAATGTAAATACATGTGCTATACAAATTAGACCTATTGAGCATGATGTCAAGCATGGAATGGGTGAGGAAGAGAGTGCCTACTTGGTTCAGAGAGAGGATTGCACCTTGGGAGTGATTGTACACAGACAAGGGTGGTAGTGGTGAGACAAAGAGTGAGAGTCAAGACACATTGTAAAATGTTAAGTCTATACATGCTAGGAATCTACATTTGGGTGGTACAGATCAATTTACATATCCTAGACTTATCTAATAAATCACTTAGTCTAGGTGAGATAGATTCATCCAATTACAGGTAAGTTAAGACTATCTGTACATATGTATACTTACCTTTTACCAGATAATCTACACATAAATCAAAGCTAGGTATGCTGAGTTACACTAGATTAATCTAGCTATTGGATTTGACTACATAATCTAGAACAATATTTACTCTAGGTATGACAATATGACTAATACAGATCTAAGCTACCCCTCTCAGATTCTCCTGACATGCAGTGAGTATGGTATAATCATTTGTATAACTTATAGTTGTTATAGTATTAATTTTATTTAGTTAGTATATTGTAAATAGTAATTTTAGTTATTTAAGCTAGTAAATGAGTACTCATTTTGTGCACAAGTTATAATTCCCACGAAAAAAAGTCACGTGTGTGTCACATGCGTGTTGGTTTTGCGTTTATTTCTCTAAGTCCCTCCTACCTCTAATTGTACGCTTTCGATACGCTCAGTTCGCTCATCCACTCTCCCGCCCCCGTTCCATCCTTCCGCTTTCCTCTCTCAACATCTCTTGCTTTCTTCCCGCCATCTCTCCCCTCTCTCTCGCGACTAGCTTCCACCGCACACTCTGCCGTCGCAAGAACAACTCCTTCAATATTCGTTGCTGTGTCCAACACAACCCGCTGCTCTACTACTGCATAACTGCATTTCATTGACCACGTCCGAAGACGCGCGCCATGGGTCGCCGCAAGATCGAAATCACCCCAATAACGGTGCGTGCATCTCCTTGTCCCTCTCCATCCGTAGCCTATTTCCATCGTCCCGTATCTCTCCCCGTGCTATTTTCTCGTGCAATTCAGTTCGCCATGCTGACTCTATTTTCTCTCTCTCTCGCGGGCGCCGGTAGCACGAGCGCAACCGCTCAGTAACTTTTCTCAAGGCGAGTTGTGTTCTTAGTTTTG